AGCTTGGAGGTTATACTAACAATAGGGTTGCAAAAATCTGCATGACAACTAGCTGACATTTTTAGACTTTTCTGTATCCCATTGTATCTCATAGATACTCTGATTTTTGTAGCCCAGATCCAGAAGTTGTATGTTTTAGTTTAATAGAACTCAATTCATTCCACTCCTCATAATTTTCAAGCTGGCACTATGTTTCACTCTTACTCTTATCAACCCTCCAAAATGTGAGTTATAATTGGAAGCATGATGGAATCAACCATAAGGGCAATCTAGATTGTGCTATTCCTATTTGGATCCAGAATAGAACAGAACAGAATAACAGAGTTGGAAGGGACCTTGGAGGTCTTCTAGTCCAACCCCCTGCTCAGGCAGGAAAACCTATACCATTTCAGACAGATGGTTGTCCAATCTCTTCTTTAAAAATTCCAGTGTTGGAACATTTACAACTTCTGAAGGCAAGTTGTTGCACTGATTAATTGTTCTGTCAGGAAATTTCTTAGTTGTAAGTTGCTTCTCTCCTTGATTAGTTTCTACCCATTGCTTGTCTTACTCTCAGGTGCTTTGGAGAATAGCTTGACTCCCTCTTCTTTGTGAATGAGATATTGGAATACTGCTATCATGTCACCCCTAGTCCTTCTTTTCATCAGACTAGACATACCCATACCTTAAGTTTTTGGCTTAGCAAGGTGTCTTAATACTGTTAAGTCTTCTTATACTCCCCTACTTTAACAAACAGGCAAATACTGAATTAGCTTATTAGTATCTGCTGAAGTAAAACTACATAGCTTTTTATGCTTGTGGGAAGTTACCTTAGTAGTACAAGCAGTGACTAAGCTTTTTTCAGTGTTGACCTAGGATCCTAAGATCCATTGCAGATTATTCAAACAAGAAAAAGGTCAGCTCAGCAAGTTTTGTTTGCAGGTTGAAAATACATAGACTTAGTTACATGCAAGTGAGGAAAAAATGTCTTTGGGCACGGCAGCTAGAATAAACCAGTGATTTTTTCAAACTTGACAAGTTTAAGATGTATGGATTTCAATTCCCAGAATTCTAGCTGTTGAAGTCCATACAGTTTAAGAGTTGTCAAGTTTGAAAAATTCTAAAATAAACAGCATGAAGTCTGCCATTTTTTTTATTTCTAGGCAATTGCTTTGTACAATTACCATCAGAAAGTGTAGGCTAGTAATAGTATTTATGCTATGGAATTATTTACTAGATGGTTCTGTTGCTAGTAGGATGGCAGAAAAAAGAAAGGGTATGAAGGCCTTTGCCTTCCCTGAATTTGATGTCAGCTAAACCTTTGGGACTAGAATTCATATTGTTATTAGCAAGCCTGTTCCAGCAGTAACACAACCACTAATTAGTTCAGCTGATATTAATTCTGAATTGGCACTTGTCTATGTCCTCACAAGTGCACTAACATTTCAACTGGACTGAATAAGAAACTGAAGACATTTAAAATTTCTTAATTCCCATGCCCTGTCAACTCATGTCCATGAAATATACTACAAACATCAGATTTATTATAGTGTTATATCTAGAACAGATTCATTCTAATCAATAGTACTTAAATTGCTTTGAAGCGGTTGTTTCTAGTGGGTCTACTGCACAAATTATTGTATCTTCAGATTCATGAACCTTTCTTACACACACACACAGAGTCATTCACTCACTCACCCCACAGAGTTGTTGTTATGAAACAGGAGTGTCAATCTCGAGGCGTCATGTCATTACGTGATGTATTGATTTTTCCCCCCTATGCTAAAATGGGGGTGGGCGTGGCCAACATATGACACATCCAGCCTGCGGGATGCAGGTTTGACACCCTTGTTATGGAGAACATAAGAAGGTATGATGGATATGTTTGTCATCTTGAGTTCTTTGTAAAATTAATAAAGGCTGGATACTAATAAATAAAATACAAAGACATCAGTTAGATAATTTTTATTTCAAATTGCTTGTTTATTTTGCGTTATAAGGTGACAAAACGGGTCTATTATTCTGCCTGCAAAGCCTGCAGAGGCTTTTTTCAAGTCTCTGGGAGGCCGAAAAAGGCCTCAAACCAGCCAAAGATCAACTGTGAGGCACGTGCATGGGCAGTGAGGTAAATTTGCCCGCAGCTCGTATGCTGGCACAAATGGCTCTGCATGCCATGCATGCCATAGGTTCACCATCATGGGGGTAGAGCAATTGCCAACATATGCATATGATATCACTGACAAATGATACAGATGTTTTGCAACATTTGCATTAAGATGTCAAAGCACGCAACTTCATTTGATGTCATTGAGGCTTCATCTAGAAATCTAGATTTAAGGGAAATGTTTTAAGGGTGGGATTGAAGAGTAGAACAAGTTGTTTCTTGAAGCTTCCCATTCCCATTCAAGAAAACAGGAAGAAAATGCTGATAAAATTTAGCAATTTTTACCTCTTAATTTTCAGTTGTACAATGTGGTACCACATGCCAGGAATTGATATTAAATTCTTATTTCACAGGCCAAACCCGAGATCAGCAGGATTTGCCCATTTGCATGCACTGAACTATAGTTCTAATGTTTTTTAATACTAAATGTTTCAGCAACTGAAACATTTTAAGAAGAAAAATATATTATAGTTAATTTTATTACCCCCATGGCTGACATTGAGAAATACCAAAATACCTTCCAGTTTCAATTAATGTAGATTCTTGTACTTTGCTCTATGAAATAAACAGATCATTAAATTTTCTCTGTGTGGTGTGTGTTTAAACTTGACACTTTTAAGATGTGATATTTTAAATATTTCCATATTGGGAGAAACATATTTTATTACATCACTATTTCTTTGTAGGAAGCTAATATTCCATACAGCATGTTTCCAAATTATTTTAAAAGGCAAATTAGAATGATTGCCTTGCATTTCTTTATATTTCCATTTCTATTTGAAGCTTTTTTTACAATAAAATCAATACAATGAAAATCCATTATGTTAGGTTATTGAAATGATCTGTGACTAAAGAGATGAGCATGATCTCTAATTCGTGGAACACCATTGAACTCTCAAAAATCACAAAACAAGATTTTCTGAATCATTTGGGGAAATTGTAGGGTCTGAACTTTTGTGTTTAATACAAATCTGAACCTGCATAATGTAACTACTTCCCTCAAATATATTCAATTTTTTTTTTCTGGAAGACATTTTGGTAATCTGTGTGGGTGTTAGCATGGCTCAAAATGTAATGTAAAAATTAAAAAGTGTGGGCAAGTTTGTAATATAAAAGAAAATGGCAAAATTAACATAGTTATAATAGGAAATACAATGGGAATAACAGAAGAACCGCGGGGGGGGGGAGAAAACTCGAAAGGAGACGACAATAAACTCAAAGTATACGGTATAAATAGCATTAAAAAAAACTTTGTGGTTCTCAACAGACTTAACACAATTCAATTTATTCAGTTAAACCGGTGATCTGACCCAGGTTCCGGAACCCTCCAGGCACGACGAATAACAGCTTCCACGTTCAGACAAGTTGGGTAAGTCTAACTGAAACTTACAAATAAATAAAAAGTGTGTTTTTCACCGGGCAAAGCGGCAATATTTAGAATTAGCTATCTATTAGTACTGTGCTAATACTAATTACCAATTATTAATTTCCCCAAACCCCAAAAACTTTAAGACTGTCTACTATTGACCTCACCCCTTTCCTAAGAGGTCTGTAGGGGGCGTGCATAAGCGCACCAACGTGCCTGCAGTCCCTGTCCTATTGTTTCTTTTATTTTTTATTTTTCTTATATGTACTCATATATGTATTCATAACTATGTTTTTATTTATACCTATTATCTTATAAGCAATTGACAAATAAGATAAATAAATAAATAAATAATCTCCCTCCTCCCTTTCGTTTTCCCTTTAATCTCTCGCCCCTTTTCCCGTCCCTCCCTGCCTTCCTAGCACAAATTATACTGCTGGCGATTTAAGAGGGAGGAACGAGGCAAATGAATTTGGGATTCTGGGATATGTAGTCTCGTCCTTTTTCCTCTCCCGCCTCCTTCCTATGCGTTTCTTACGTATCTCGCCGTCCCACGCGGAAGGGGGGGAGGCCCGGCATACATTTCCCAGAATGCTGCAAAAGAGAGGGAGGGGTTTTGTGTTAGGGTTAGAGAGACAGGGAGCCGGCCACAAACGGCGCGTGGCGCTTTGAGTTTTCGGGCGGTTAGCTGGCGGGGGTGGAGAGGCGGGGTTTCTCCTTTGGCGTCCCGTGACCCGCAGGTGGGCGAGCGCGCGGGGGTGCCAGAAGTGGGAGGCAGTTCCTCCGGCGGCCGCGTGGAGCGCTGGGGAGTCGCTGTCTCCGGCTTCTGCGTGCGCGCCGGGCCGAGTGACACGGCCCTCTGCTGTTGCGGCGAAGGGAAGGAGAGAGACCGCGGAAGGCGACCGGTCGATGAAATAAACCGATCGGAGGCTGCCCCTGCCTCGTGGAAGTAGGCGGTGGGAGACGCACGCAAGCAGCTGCTCTGCCTTCCCCGGCCAAGACTGAGCCCGTGAGGCGGACGGTCACGGGCAGAGCCGCCGCCACCGCCGCCTTCCAAGCGGCTGACAATGAAAGTGAAAGGCAGGAGCCGCGGAAGGGGAGGTGGAGGCGGCGGCTGCCCCCGGGGTTGCGCCTGCCGCCGCCCCCACCGTGCTGAGTGATCCCGACCTTTCCCTGTGCGCTTCTCTCAGGGAACGTTCCCGAAGAAAGAAAGCTGCCGCCTCTGTTTCTGCCTCCTCGGAACATTGGCCGGGTTTTCCTCGCGGGGACCCACGAAGAGGGTGCAACGTGTGAACGCTGGCTCGTCTCCTTTCGCTCGCCTGCAGCTGCTTTTCGAGTGGGGCCGTGTGGATCCTAGACGGCGACGGGAGAGGCGGCGGCGGCGGCGGCTGGTGGTCCTGCGACGGCCGCCGCGATTCAGGTGGCTTCTCCGCACCCCTCCGCTCCGCTTGGCGTTGAGAGCGGGGAGAGAAGGTGGCTGCGCGGAATAAGCCCAGTTTAAAGTAGAAGCAGAAAGCCAACTGTCCTTGCCGTTTTCCTCGACGTTTCCTATTGCGGCTGCTGTTTTCCCCTGGAAGACGGATTGCGGTGGTGTAGCGGAATTTGGGGGGTCTCCCCTGGCTTGAAGGAGAAAAGTGGAGAGAGATCAGTCAGTACCTCTAAAACTGGAAGTTATTTTTGCCTGACAAGCCTGAATCAATAATAAAGTGGCCTGAGGACAGCTTTACTTTGTTTTTTTGCATTCCCCCCCCCCTTTGAAATTGGCATTATTTTATAATGGTATATTAAAAAAAATGAACACTGGCTTGAAACTTGCCTTGTCTTACACCTTTTTCCAGGGAAGGCACTGAACACATTTTTATTTTGCGTTTGGAAAGACCTTTTATAATGACAAAAAATAGGAACTAATCTCTTGCCATTGGAAGGAGAAAAAGACCATAGTGGGAAAAAAAATTGGTTATTATAGTTTGTTTTTCAGTTGCTGCGCTTAGAGTTGGTTTTTGTTCAGAACAATTCGTACAGATTCTACTTTTAAGAATTTTTTAGAAATCTTTGTGAGGAGGATTTTGATTAGAGACTGCTTCCCTCAAAACCTGACCCAAGTACTTTAAAAGTGGAATGTGAAGTAAAGCTGAGCAGTTTCTTAAACAGAAGGCAAAATGTTTTAAAACCATAAAGTTCTATGTTTAATTGACAACTGTTTTATATCTAAGCCTTTTTCATTCCTATTTTATTCTATGATTATGCACTTTGGTTTTTATTTAATTGTGAAAAAGGGAAAAATTACTGTACTTATATATTCATAAATTACAGCTTTGAAATCTTTAACAGAGAATTGGGAATTTTAAAATGCCACGATAAGCTTGTTTTAATAAAACACCCAATAGTGTCTTCTTCAGAAGTTTTAGACAAGTGTTGCTGGAGGGGTTCCTCCTTATTCTCCATTAATGAGTCCTGGTGGTGGTGTTGGAGGACCCATGAAAGACTGTGAATACAGTCAGATCAGCACTCATAGCTCCTCTTCTCCCATGGAGTCCCCCCATATGAAGAAAAGCATTTCCAAGAGAAAATGGGAGGTTTTCCCTGGAAGAAACAAATTTTTTTGCAATGGAAGGATCATGATGGCTCGACAGTCTGGAGTCTTCTACTTGACACTTGTTCTTATTTTGGTTACCAGTGGACTCTTTTTTGCATTTGAGTAAGTGCCATTAAAGTTTTTTTTTCACCTGTTTCTTACTAATAGAACTATGCAAGAATTCAGGTATCTCATTGATGCTAGGCTGTATCAGTAATTTATACTGCATTCATGATTTATATGTTTAATTTAATTCTTGAAAACTTTGAAGTTGAATAATTGTCAATTTGGTATGATCTAGACAGATGAGATTTCAACTCCAGTTTAAAAGTAATGCTGGTCTTTTGCAGTGGAAAGAAGTTTTTAAATGATACAGAATTTTAAAGTACTAATGTTCATTGAAAAGTTTACTAATTTGTCATTTCATAAAGTTCCATTAAGGCAACTAGCTATTTATGCTTGAGAATACTTCCACAATCAGTGCAGAAGCTGTATATTTCTCCCGCTCTAGTCAAAAATGTCTATAATAAGTTGTTATATATCAGGTTAATGGTTTATCAATAAGCATAATCCATGACATTATATAGTAGGCTTGGATATTATTTGTATGATCTGCCTAATACGCAATCGTTTTGGGTTTTCCATCAAACTTGCTAACTCATGGAAGACAAAAAACTGTCCAGGCTAAAGATATTTCATAATATCCCCTTTTCTTGACTGTTATTCTATTTTTTCCTCTCTGCTGTTAATTAGTACAGGTTCCCTTTTTAAAAGGGGAAATAATATTTTCTCTAAATGCACTTGCACATGTCAGTATGTTATATCCTTGATATCTCAAAGTTATATTCATGATAATAGAGCAAAGTTAAGTTAATATGTTGTAAAAAAATTTTTGTAGATATTTGAGAATGCATTGCATATGATGCAATAAAAATAGATAAAGTTTTCTAATATGGGTAGTCCTCAACTTACAGCCATTTGTTTAGTGGTTGAAGTTACAACAGCACTGAAAAAAATGACTTATGACAGTTTTTCACACTTAAGACCATTGAAGCACCCCATGATCAAATGTTTGGCAACTGACTTTATATTAATGACAATTGCAGTGTCCCAGGGTCATGTGACCATCTTTTGTGCCCTTTTGACAAGCAAAGTCAATGGGAAATCTAGATTTACTTAACAACCATGTTACTAACTTAACAAAAGCAGTGATTTACCCACCAACTGTGGGTAAATGGTCATAAAATGAACAAAACTCAACTGTCTTGCTTAATAACAGAAGTTTGGAGCTCGATTGCGATCATAAGTCAAGGACTACCTATATATTTAGACTATCCAGTGTATTTAATAAATACATTTTCTAAGCATGAATTCTAGATAAAGAAATTATATTGATTGTGAATCTTGATAATTAAGTGAAAAAATGTTTGGATAATCCATTATCCAAATTAAAGACCCAAATTGTTGGGGGAAATATGCTGACTCTGTAAACGCTTAGAGAGGGCTGTAAAGCACTATAAAGTGGTATAGAAGTCTATTGCTATTTAACTAATCATTTATTATGAGCTATAGTTTAGAATTTATTTTCTGTTCATGGAAAATGTATCACTATCAGCTTATTGATTTAATTATGATAAAGTGCCAAATTTTAATTCCTGATATGCATTTTGATTTTTCCTCACCTCATTAAAAACACATTATTTACACTTGGCATAAAAGAGTAGCAGCTGAAGTTATGACTATAATCCTGACAAGCGTTCTAACTGGTACAAACTGGCACTATTATTGGCTTGTTCTGGGAAAAAAAAAACTTGCCTGCAAATGAGGTTTTCTACAGGAGCAAGTTTTTTATAGAATGAAAACACAAATGAGTGGGCGTCTTACATAATCCTGTAATGTTAAATAAAAATAGAATGTCTTCAATTTTATATTAATTTATAAAATGATGTAATTAAAAAGAAGACAAAGCTATTGAAAGAATTTTTTGATAAATCAACCTGCCTTTTGTTTCTAAGTAAGTTGCAGCATGAATGGTAGGCAAATTTTCTGTCTGGTGCTTTATGCAGGGACTGAAAGAGTTCTTAGAAGTTATGATCTCCACCTGAATAGTGGTTGGTGATAGTTACCCCAGATTATATTATGATCAGTATATGTTGATGTTATTCTTTCTGGCAGTAGCATGCATTTATATACAGTAGTAATGATTACAAATTTGTTCACCCAGGATTTTTTTTCCCCTGTCAGTATGTTAAAGCATGATGGTTTAAGCAATCTAATGACAAATCCTTATCCACAGAAAGCCAAATTGATCCAACAGAAAGAAGCAAGACAAGCAGTATTCAGCTGCTGGAAGTTGTATTTGTTTCATTAATTTTGGTTTATTATTTTGAACATAGATTCATCATTTTTATTTATTTTCTTCAAAGAGAAATATTCAATATTTTTTAGAACGGTTACTTCTTTTTCAGATAATAAGCTACTGTGCAGGAAAAAATATTTTTTCTTTAAAAGAAGCAATTATTTCTTCAGGATTGCACTATAGAATTTTATGAATTATTTTAGAATTCACTTGAAAAGTTATACAATAGAAGAGGAAAATAAAATACAGGTAGTCCTTAACTTTCAACCACAACTGATCCCAAAATTTCTGTTGCTACGGTAAATGAAACAGTTATTCAGTGAATTCTGCTGAATTGTATGACCTTTCTTGCCACAGTTGTTAAATTAGTCACAGAGTTAAGTGAATCTGACTTCCCCATTAACTTCACTTGTAAAAAGGTCACAAAAGGGGGGGGTCACATAACCCTGGGATACTGCCACATCATTAATATGAGTCATTGTCACGTCTAAATTTTGATCACATGACCTTGGGGATGCTGCAACGGTCATGAGTGTGAATAAAGTTACAAATTGCTTTTTCAGTGCCATTGTAACTTTGAACGGTCACTAAATGAATTGTAAGTTGAGGACTACCTGTACTGTATTTTGTCCTACTCTATTAGTAGCTGTAACGAAATACTGAGAGACTAATAATCCAATAAAAATGATAAACCTGCTTTGTATGTTTCAGCTAAAGGCCCAAGCATCTATATATAATGAAGGACGTTATTTTATCTCTTACCTTAATTTGGGAAACATTTTTTCTGGAAGTGTTATATTGTCCTGTCTCATATTAGGCAATGAATACAGGTATACACTACTATTTTTTCATTGGAAGTGCTGACATAAACTTTTACCAGTTGAAGTGCCCTAATATTAATCTGTAAATTATTTTCCTCTAATTCATTAAATTCTTAGTATAATGTCTGGACAACTATAATTATAGTTTCTATGAATATTGTGGAAATTCCAAATAAAATTTATGGATATGCGAAAAAACAATATTGCACGAAGAACAGGGTGCAAAGATAGGTATGGAAATACAGAGAGCATTTTTTGATGTATTTTTGTTACATAACCATAGGGAAACCTTTCTAGTTTCCTTTGGGTTGATAAATACAGTACTTTGAAACTGTGTGCATAAGAAACGTGTTAACAGTTATTATCATCTACATATCTTAAAGTCTAAGGCTATCTAACAAGATAGAAGTATTCTAGGTAGTGTATATTTTTACTTTTTAAAATGGGATGTAAGAATTCAAATACTTTGAAGTGAGTTTTTTTCTTTACATACTTCAGAGCCATTCATATGCCCCAGAAGCATTAGTCCAAAGCCAGAATATTATAGTATCTCTTGTATGGTAAGAAAAGAGACCTGCCTAAATAAATAATTTTATATCTACATCACAATGTTTATTATTAAATATTGTTATATCATTTAAAAGTTACCTTGCCGTATGTAAACATACAGGACTGGAATCACAAAGTATGACCCATTATTAAAAGGCTGCTATGCGACCTTTTAGAAGTCCCAGTTCCTTCTACAGTTTAAAAGTTATTAAAGAGTAGTATGTACAACACACCTTGCAATTATAAAAGATTACTTTATTAGTACATGGTAGTATATTTCATCACACTTTAAGAATTGAAAGCTACTATTCACATTTTCAAACTTTGTTTTTGGACATTTTGAAATAATCTCGCGTTATGTGTTGAATCAATTTTAATTTTAAAAATACTGAACATTTATTAGCATAAGACTTAATTGAATGGAAGATGATTGAATGGAAGAATGAATGAATGTGTTTATGAGTAAAGGTGAAGGTTTCCCCTGTCCAGTTGTGTCAGACTCTAAGGGGGAGTGCTCATCTTTGTTTCTTAGCCAAGGGAGCACATGTTGCCTGAAAACATTTCTATGGTTGTGGCCAACATGACTACACACCAAGGTACACGGAACTGCTGTTGTCTTCCCATCAAAGTGAGAAGTATTTATCTACTTATATTTGCATGTTTTCGAACTGCTAGATGAGCAGGAGCTGGAGCAAGTAACAGGAGCTCATCCCTTCACACTGCACTCAGGTCTCAAACCTCAGTGTCTTAACTGATGAGCCATCATTGTCCCATTTATGTATAGATATGCTCAGAAAGAACTGTAGAAGCTCTTTGGGGAATGTGATTTTCTCTCATCCCTTGAATACTTCTGAGAGGGTGAAGACTCTTCTGAACAAAGTGAGATTAGATGAAATGGGGAATGATTGTTATAAAGAAAATGGAAAGCCTGCCCAATCTTCACTCGAGTGATATATACCCTATAGAATATGTTTTAGGGTATGCACAGTATGCTGCGGGAATGTGGAAATGGATAAGTTGTAATTATACATTGTTGGATGTAGTAAAATTTAAAACATCTGGAAATGAAGAGGGTAATCTAATATAATACAAAAACACGATTAGAAACGTTAATTGTTTGTATTGAATAAGATGCAGCCTATAATTAAATAGGCCAGAATTTTTTAAAACTGCTTTCCTTTCCCTAAATTTCTGCTTCCTGGCTAATATTAATTACAAAAATACTTGGTAAAAAACAATTCTGGATCTTAACATGTCTTGTTGATTAAAAAAATAATTTTCTATATATATATATATATATAAACTTCTATCCATACACCATAACTCTAGCTGGTTTACAAACAACAATCAAGACAGTAAAAAAGCATGTAATTTGGAAATAGTTGGTAGATGTA